GAGCGCTAGACATGAGATTTATAAATCACTTTGGGGTCACTTAGCAGTTCCTCATTGACATGAAATAGAGTGGATTGTGTAGTTTCTCTCAACTTTCAAATTTTTAGAGAAATTTGCGACTCCCGGTCATTCAGTGGTATGAGAATCTTGACCAAAGCATACTCATATCAACGTAAAACAAAAAAGAAACTTACAGTCATTGACAAAATATAGCTTCGTTCCAAGTTCAAATCACAAAATCTCCAAAACCTGCTCTTTGTAATATATTTGCTGTTTCGTCGAGAAATTATATAATCGATTCTTAAGTTAATCTATTCGCCAATGAGATACGTTATAGTGATGTCATAATACTAATGTAAGTCATTTGTCAGCTGTGGACCTAGCCGACTCACTGGGCAAATATCAAATCGTTTCGTATACTTGATTATCTGAGCATTTCATAACAATGTAACTTGTCTGTATTATTATTGTCGGGCAGTAAAGTCGTCAATAAAGATGTTTGATAACAGTGAACCAAAAACCCACAACTGACGAAACATTTGCTTCCCTTTTGTGCCCGTTTCATGTATTTTTATGATCTTTAAAGGTGGCGTGTTCGAAATTTTGTTCTTAATAATGTCAATTTTTGTTTTAAAAAGACTCCTCCTCAGTTATCACTGATTTCAACAGCGACTGCAATCTGTAGACTGTTGATATTTCCATGAATATAAAAATTTGGCGATAGAAAAAGGTATTTCGTCCATAAAATGTCGTCTGCGGCACATACTTGAGGAGCCATTTCGAATTCTCGTGTAACCATTTTAAACTTTGTGACCACACAGCTAAAAAGGTCTATTGCTTGGGCTGCTCATTTTATGGAGAAAAATTAACGTGGAGGGAGACGAGGAGTGGCACATAGTGATGAGCAGAGATCAAACCAAGGGAGAGGTGGGTCCAAGTGTGCTGTGCATCAGCATTGGAGAAGAGAGGACCACTCACTAATTTGGAGATAAAAAATTTCTTCTCTGTTCGGTAGATTTGGATTTAAGGCGCCTTCTGCTTAAAAAAAAAGCAGGGTATAAAACTACAGGTCCAACAGCAAGGTGTTTTCACTAAATATGTCTGATGGTAATTCCTTCAACTGGTTGTTGTTTAACCACCTTAAAAGAGATGATTTAAAGGCGGTGTTTAGTACGTTCTACCAATTAAAGAAGATCAAGAAACACAATAAATGCCTGCAAACAGACTGTTAGAGTCAATAAGCGATGCTCACACTTTAAATCTGCGATAAGTAAACAAGCTATACTGTAGAACAGAAGGACTTTGAGACTTTTAATTGAAGCATTGAAAGCAATCGAACGCATGAAAATTCCTCTCTTCTTCCTACATCTCCTCCAATCACTTACTGTTGTCAGTATTACATAAGGCTTTAAGATACAAACTGATATGTAGTGTAGACCACATCATAAGCTAAGCGACATTGATTTGTTTTAGGGTGGGGAGTAGGGTAGGTAAAGATATCAAAAGAAGTTTGAAAGGGGAAAATATTGAACTAATAATAGAGAATGTCTGGAATAGACAGAAGAAGAGAAGAATAGGGAACGTTTTCTGGTGTTACGAACGTTTGAGACACGGCACAATCTGAGTTTTCGTAAGGGAAATTTTATTTCTGAACATGTGCAGAGGCGGCCTCATCGAACAGTGCCACAAGCCAACTGAGGTAAGACCTTTATCTATAAGGTTGTCAGTTTTTACTTAGGTTTTGGTCTTAGTGGGGAGACAGGTGGAACAGGGGGACAGGGGGGAGGGAGCCCGGGAGAACAGGGGGCAAGAGAGGGATCTATCTGAGAGGGAGAGCGGGAAAAGAAATTTAAAAAAAAAACACTCGTTTTTTGTTTATAACCGTTTATCATCCAGTTTTAAGACCAATTCCTATTTAACTTCCACCGATGCGTTAAAAATACTTTTATGAACGAGAAAATGTAGGTTTGTTCTCAGGCTGATAAAGCAGCATTCGTTGTGATCAAACTGGATACCTATCGAATTTGGTTTCCCTATTGGTCATGAATGAAGTGACATAAACTATGTACACATTTGTCAATGTCTCGCGAACTGTAGCAGGCAAAATTCTTCAGTACACAAAGCGAGTCGGGTCAAATGACTTTGAAACCTCTATTCAGTCTCAGAATCGTATAATTGAATAAAATCTCGTTTGAATCAGTACACACGACACACGGCTCGATGTTGTTGTCTTTCAAATTCTCCGCCTTCAGACGTGATGTGGTCTAGTAATGTTAGTAAAGAATTGAAAGTTAAATCCTCACCATGAAAATAAACTCCACCTGTTAAAATCCTACAACTGAATTTATTTTTCAAAATAAGAAAGTTCCGCAAGTAAGTAAAGCTGCTTTCAAGGCTTACTAACTTTAAGAGGTTTCCTTACAGACTATCATGAAGAATTCTTCATTGGCATGTTATTATTTATAAATTGTTTTCGCTTTCTCTAAATATCCCAAGTGGTTTATATACGACGGCAAAGCAATGCTTAGCTATCCCTGGGCAAAGCACGCGAGATTTGCGCTTTTAATCGTTGCAGGGTTATAGCAGTTAAAATCATCTCTTCGTGCTTTATTATCTCACTGGTTTCGTATATACTACGGGTACGTCTCGGTGGTAGGGTAAGGCGAAAACCAAAACTAAACATGTTCTAGCTCGGCAAATCATTGAAGGTTAGGCAAACCACGATCCTTTGTCACCCTCAACACCATATATTCTTTATTTTCAGACAGGTTTTGTGCCTTTCTGTCCTGGATTTGCATTGGATTTTATCCAAGGCATTTGTTTCACTAGTCAACTTCAATTTGTTGGGGGAAATTGCCAATGCAAAATCGTTCACAACAGAATTCAGAAGAAAGTTTTTGTCCAAAAAAACATTTAAAAGTGGTGTTTAGTAAGTTACACCGATTAAGAAAGGTTAGGAAACACAAAATGCTTGCAAACAGACTTATAGCGTCAATAAAGCGATGCTTTTAAGTCTGCGATAAGAAAACGAGCTTTATTGTAGAACAAAATGACTCAGGGGTTTTTTTTTATTCAAAGCACTGAAAACAACTGAACACTTTAAAATTCCTTTCTACTCCCTCCGTATCCTCCAATCACCCATTGCTATAATACATAAGGCTTTACCATTCGAACTGATATGAAGTGTAGACCACTAAATGAGCCAGGCGACGTTTATTTGTTTTAGGGTGGGGGGTAGGGTAGGTAATTAAAAGATATCAAAGGAAGTTTGAAAGGGAAAAATATTAAACTGTTAATTAAGAATGCGTGGAATAGACAGACGTTGGCAGAGAAGTGTGAGGAAAATTTTCTTGTGTTATGACTGGCTGATGTGCGGCCCAGTCTGGGTTTCCATACGGGAAATTTGGTTTTTAAACATGCCTAGAGGTGGCCTTTTCGAACGGTGCCATATAGCTGCAATGATATCGGTGTACAAATGTATGTACTGGTTTCCGCAGCCAGCCGTAGAATTGTGCCTTACCGATAATACTAGAGGTGGGGGAAACTAAACCGCTAACAAGTGCATTTTAATTTATTTGTCTAAATTGGCAAAAAAACCGCAGGAAATGGCATTTCCGAGACCCTACATTTAAAAAAATATTCTGTAAGAGCATGCGCCCAGATTCCCTAGTTTGGACGGCCTTCACGGTTTGATATTATCTTCTCGTGCGTTCATAAAAAGTTTCATGCTTCACCTGGGGGATGTCAACTTCTCGATCGGTATAATTTTATGATGTGATGACAAGGCGAACAATAACGTGTAATAATAACCACCAGCGCTGCGTTCAAAAATACAAACGGTTTAACAATTCATCGGCGGTGTGACGGTAGCGACGTGATTCATAATTTCGTTCGTCGCTACATACGTGCATTGCATGAGGCTACAAAGTTTGTCGGATGTGATATATTATTACGACCCTTATAAAACCACTACCACAATGATAACGAGACTTATCAAAATCATAATTCCCCGCGATGAAGTCAGACTTTTCTTTCCATTTCGAATTCTTGGGTAACCATTTTAAATTTCGTGACCGCACAACTGAAAAGCGGTGTTAATTACATTCCACCTACTATAAAAGGTCAGGATCCATACTAAATGCCTGTAAATAAACTTAAAGTATCATTTAACAGATGCTTTCTTTTCTATTTTTCATATTTCAGTCTGCGACAAGACAATCAGCTATTTTGTTGAACAAAATGACTTAAAGTGTTTTCTTTATTCAAAGCACCGAAAACAATAACACTTTAAAATTCCTCTCTTCTCCCTCCCTCTCCTCTGATCACCCATTGTTGTAATACATAAGGCCTTACGATTCAAACTGACATGTAGTGTGCACATCTTATCAAAAACTATTTTTGTTCTTAAGAGCTCCAGGCTCTTTACATTTAAGATTATTATTATTATTATTTCTTGTTTGTTTGTTTGTTTGTTTTTAAGGCTTGTTTAAATTATAAACTTTAATATGTTAGGAAAAAATGGATTATGCAAAGTCTTTCACAACGGGATTAGAGAAAGATGCTGTTCGAAAGTTTTTGTGAGAGGCTACTTTCATTTTCTTTTATATAGACGCTTAAGGGTGCCTGCCACATTTTTAAAGTCTCCTTCTCAGTTGTTACTCTTCAAGTATTTTGACTGGCTCATCCATACTGGGTTTTCGCTGATTATTGTTTTGTTTTGTTTTTGTCAACTCTTCGTGCAAAGGAGAATAATCAGAAGAAAACTGAAACACATGCAGACCTGAACACTGAGCTGCATAGAATATTCTCAAAGAGTACATCTTACGCACCACTCACTGCCCCCCCTCACCGGCCTCAATTTTTAAGAAGCCAGAACATTTCTCTCTAGTGACTAGTTTTGATTGGAGCTGACAAATTGTTGCCCTGAGCTGCTGCTATTCCCACAAGTGCGAAAAGCATTAGACGCGTTCCTTACACATGAACAAAGGTTCCAAACTTACAGCAACTCCATCTGGGTATAGTTACTGAAAATGCCTGATGGTAATTGATTCAACTGGTTGTTGTTCAACAGCCTATCAAAAATAAGTAAATGTGGTGTAAATTGTGTGGTATTCGACAACAAAGTTCAAGGAATGAGTATGCTCGAAAGAAATGTTTTTTTCTTCTCGTGCCCTATACAAGAGCCTAAAGTATACAAGTTATCAAACTAATGTCTTTCAAGAACTGATCTCATCGTTTAGGCTTGATGTATGAAGGCCCCAGAGAAGATAGAAAAGCTTTAATTTGAGACAACACTAATTGAGACCTCCTAATGATGAAAGTGTCAAAATCTTGGGAGCTTCGAAAAACGATGTTGTAACTGGGTCTTTTTGTCTTTCTTCGCTACATGAAATATTCAGGAAATATCGATTTGCTAAAAATATCACTTTTCCATGCTCTTTCCTACACTCATTACCACATGGAACAACGGGGAAAAGAACACCTTCAACTCTATTCGTCTAACCTGACCCTGTTTTGAACTGTCGCATGGTAACCATAGATGCTTTGCAATATCACGTGACTGTGTAATTTTTCAGGAAATTGCGTTCTTTTAAAGATGCATCATGCGGCATTTCTCTGTTCTTTTCGAAACTTATCACCGAAATACTTGTGAATGGCGAAATTAACCAGTGTTGTTGACTTGGTAAAGCGACTATTCAAGAAAGGAGGGTCTGAGGTAGAGCCACCCCAGCATTGCTTTCTTTACATTGTGTTTTCTCTGATAATGTATGTAACGAACAACAAATCTTCCCTTCCCTGTTGATCAAGCTTTATTGTTTTTTGTTAATGTTACAATTGACGACTATACTCGCCGAGTGAAATTCGGTTACAGGTGGCCCAAGTTCTCTATGAGAAATAAGCCTTTACGAGAGTTTTAGCTCCGCTCTCTAACTTTCCAGCGAGAATTCTAAATGACCAGCCACTTTAAAGTCCTGCGAACCCACGACAAGAACGTCTTGTCGCGGGTTCGCAGGAAATGGTCGGCCTAGACACGACTCGAATTTCTCCCCATAGATCAGACCATAGTCTAATATACTGGACCAAGAATGACATTCAGCCACCCGAGGAAAGAAATATTTATTTAAAAAAAAGCTTTGTGTCGGATTCGCCCTTTGAGACTGAAGAAAGTAGGCAACATGTGAACGATGCTTTCCGTAGTAGAATTCCCGCGCTTAAAAGGTATCCAAATATTTCGCAGAAGTTCTATGGAATATATTTTAATGAAATTAGGGAAAACTATCTGGCTCTCGCGCTGCAGAGCATCGAAAAATTATCGTTATCTACGGAGTTACAGAGAGGGGCGGAAACTCCCATACAAAGTTTTATAACATAAGCCTCCACTGATTTAGGTTATAAATGAGCAGTGGTAACTTACAGTGCCTTCAGCTTGGTATAGTTACTGAAAATGTCCTGCGGTAACTTTTTAAGCTTGTTTTGGCCCAAGTTCCTATCATAAAATCGTTGCATTATAAAAAAAAATTAAAAATATGTATACAAGAAAAAAAATAATAATACAAATAAAAACTTTTGAGCAAGCCCTGCTGTATCGCCATTTATCTAACTTTTCTTTGACATCTGCAACCATTTTGATGCCTTCTCCAGGTTGGATGGACCCCTTGTTTTACGCCAGGTTGGGAAGGAATACATCGATGAATCAGTAATCGAAGTGTGTTATTATTAACAATAGCAATTAACTTAAGGGTTTAGAAATTCGTAATTCTGCAAAAACAAACTTTTTTCAAAATATTATAATGTTTTGCCTTTTTAGATTCCAGCCTCCAATTCATTGAGCTGAAGGTATGCCTAACAGAAAGCTTTGCAGCCGGTTGTTTACTCAACTCCACCTCAAGAAATTTTTCCCACCATTTTTAACATAAACGGGCTATAATGCTGATAAAATATGCATTCATCAGGACCCAGTTGTTCGAATGCCGATAAGCGCTAACTCAAGGTTACATTTTAATCTGGGTTTCTTTTTGCGTTATTCAAAAGCCTCTTTGAGATAATTTTCTATATCGCTTTCAGAGCATCCAATTATCACATTCCAGAAAAAAAGAATTCGGATCTGAAATCAGATTTCACACACACTAATCCTGGGTTATCTTAACCCAGATTTAGACAACCCCACCCAGTAGATTAGGGAAAGGTCTTACTTGACAACCAAAGTTGGTTATAGCTCCTGGAAACTTTCTGTGGCCAATCTCTCAGTTGATTCTAACCCAAGTCCCACTTAAGATGTTACTTCATATGTTTTGAATAGGATCGGTTTGTAATGCGAATAAACGAAGCTGTTAATTAATAAATGGAATATGCAAACGAATGTTAGCGCAAAGCCATTCCAGATGAGAATCGTTATTGTGTTGAATACGGATGGTTTGCAAAGCGCGGTTAGTGACGAATACTTTTATGTATTGTCGAAATATCATCGTCAGTCCCTGTTAAGATATCGCTGACCTTTTAAAGTGAAATGTAAACATTATAGATCTGTTTAATTTAGCTTACAGCCAACTCAGGTGAGTATTGTTGCTGAAAATGTCTTGTGGCAAGTCGTTCAGCTGGTTGTTACTCAGGTTCCTGTTAGAAAAAATCGATACAACTGTGCTAAATACACACGGTTTTCAAAACTGATGACAGATACTTTTATCACGAGATTCTAAACCGCTTCTATTTCTTTCCAAACTCTTTTTTTCACCCTCGCATGATATTTTCGCTTCAACAGCCCATTGTTTAAATGTACTGTGTAGATCAAGTTATCAAACCAATGAGGATGAAAAAAATGGGAGTACGATTCAACTGTGATTAAGTAGACAAGTTTCCAGCTAAATACGTGTATCATTGCATGAACCAATGATCTTAAATCATTTCTTGTTCGAAATAACTTGGCGGTAAACGACATAGAGCAGAATGCAGTAACTTGAAAATGTCACAAAGGCCTTGTTGCATATTTCAATATTAATAATAACAAAACAACAATTTAAGAAAAGCGGCATTCAGTAGTAAACTCTTCCAGATGTACGCACCGAACAGTTTTACTCAAAGTCGTCCGTTGTACACCAGAAATGGATAAATTGCACTATTGTTCTAGCCATTTCTCGGCGAGATGCTATTCATACCGTTAGAACTACTTTTTCACAGTTATGTTTGACTTTTACGGCTACATTTAAGCAGTCATGTAACACCTAAGATAGTTCTGAATATAATTCAAACAGTTGAATATATTGATATATATATCTACGTTTTTTGAAGTTCTCATGATTTGCTTGATATTTCAATTTCTAAGGGCTTCCTATGCATAAAGTACCGGTATTTCTAATAGAACAGAAAGCATACTTCGCCGTTATTGTTCAAACTCAACAAAATATGTTCGTTTTGCGATTCCACTTTGCCTTCACGAAGTCACGAAGTACTGCCTCATTGTTTAGCTTTGTTCTTGTTTTGTGACCCTGCTGACGTGGACGTTAAGATATTTTTTAGTGTAGCCACGAGGTTACAGCTTTGAGTTTACAAGGTACAGTTTTCCTTTTACATGGCTCGAGAGACTCGGGAGATAGTAGTTCAGGTTAAGAATGACCCCTGTAGAAAACCTACGTTCAAAAAATTCAATATTGAAGAATTTCCGGTCATTGTCGTCGATGGCACCACGCAAAGGCTGGTGTAAGATTGATTTAGAAGTCGCTCTTACTCAGTTAAGAATAAAATTCATTTGCTTAGTAATCTGCAGTTTAGTCTGCAACTTAAATAGTACCTCAACAATTGATCTCTCGTTAATACTCACAACGCTGCTGTGGTGAGGGGAATTTTCCACGGAAACGACATCAATTCTTTTCCTGCACAATTCACACGCAACAGATTGTATGTTCCCTTCAACATGTGGCACTCACAAGGGCCTGGGCACTCTGAATATTAGACAGTAAATATTGTTCATAGAGTTAAATCGCTAAAAAAAAGTGTAATATGTCACCACTGAGATTGCCTTTCAGAGAGAAAACCAGCTTATTTTATAGTACTGAGGAAAAAAAAGAAAGTAGCTTTAGAATGATAGTTTACAACGGAATGCACGTGATGCACTTTTAAACTTAGGCATTGAAATTGCGAAATTTTTCAACTTAGAGTATTTTCTTTGAACTAATTACTATCATACTCTTATCATTGTCAGTATTTAGAGAAGTCCGAATTTAAGCTAAAACAAAAAAAAAATTCATCAAACTACAGCAGTAGGGAGAGTTTCCCTCTGAGAGGCTGAACAACGCTAAATAATCAGAATAACTAAAAAATTGGTCTCAGTTTCATACGTGAGAAAAGATTAATGTTTCTATTGCGCGAAGTAAAAAGTGGATATGATGAAATGCTGCTTACAAACGGTATGACAAAATTAATCAAGAAAAATTAGTTGAACAAAATTGAACACTAAAATTACCAAAACTAATCAAAACAAATGAACTCTTTAACTCTCATGAGTGACCGAGACAGAATTTCTCCCCACAATATCCATACAATTTCAAGCGGA